ACTTTCTGAAAGGTATCTAGAGGGTAAATTATATTACTAGCTGATCTGCTTTCTAAAGACTCCTAAGATACTAGTAGACAAAGCATATATGAAATAGCTTTCTCTTTCAAAGGTAGAGATGTTGACTGCCTTTTCTAAAGTTTGCTTTTTTGTTATTATTTTTTAGTACTTGGCACGTTCTGTAAGGTAACTAAATTCATTCATGTGTACTTAGAAAATATTAATGCTGAGACCTAACGACATAGAAGTCTTACTTGGGTTGAAGGAGAATATCATCTGTTTTGGAAGAAAACGTGGCAGATGAGATATGAATTTAATTGTATAACACAGAAGTATCATCTCTGTAATTCACACTGAATCCCCACTGATGATGTGTTTATACCATACAGAATACATATAATTATTAAAACAATAGGTAGAAGCCTAGCTTTCATTGGATTCCTCTGCCCAGTTTCTTATAAATTGGTATCCATCTTATTTTTCTATCATACAAAAATCAAACCCCACCATGGTTATTTATAGACCTTCAGAGAAGGTGAGGAAGACTGGGATACTGAGTTGGCGTTTCACATCAGTACCTGTGCCAATTATCATCCAGCACCCGCCCTCTGGGTAGCAGGGATACAGACACACTTTAGTACACAACAACAAGCCAGAGTCCCTTACTCCTATGTCTGAACATTTGACCGAACTTAAGAAACAACACCCCAGCAACCTTGTCGTTTCAATTTTTCACACTTTTGTCTGTATGTGTTTTATGTCTCAACAAAGACTTATCTCCCCAACCCACTGCCACAGGATAATTCTCTGTAACAAAGCTCAGTCTCAATCTCCAACCAAATGAAAAAAGGGCAAATCCCCAAAGAGAAAAAGTAACGGTCACAGCCATTTCTACGGGTCCCAATCTCACAGACCAAGGAGGGACTGATGACAGTTCACTGCTACCATAAACTGGCAGAATAGGCCCCAGAGGGATTGGAGGTTCTGTAAGGGGATTTTGTATGAAGAATATCTTTCTGAGCCCTCCAACAGAGACAAGCCTTTTTTACAAGGAAGGAAGCTGTGTTGGCACAACGGACAACATTTTCAAGCTGGGCGGAGATGCAGATTGCCACCAGTGTGAGAATGTTGGTGTCTGTCATCCGCAGGGCTTTCTGACCATGCTTTTCCCTCCGTCTTTTGTTTGGAGGGAGAAAGAACACAACATGATGAAAAACACTTTTGCAATAAATCATCACAGCATTCAGAACATCAAGGGTCCTCCAAAGCATTCGACCTGTTTTCCTTTCCAGGTAAGGTTTAGAATGCAATTAGACAGTCAGGAGAGCAAAAGAGGACAGGAAAAGGTGATAGTTACCCAAAACGTGGAGCATGCTTAAAACTGGAATGCCATGGCCCATTTCTCCCATACAATTCTGTTAATAAAATAAAACTTTATTTGATGTAGTGTGTTTATGCCAAAATGCTTCCCCAAATACTTTACAGATTTAAATAATGCATTTAATATCACTGCTGTGTGGTGATAGAGTGTCCCAGATCACTAGGAGTCCTGAATTAATATACTCTAATGATCTCTCCCCAGGGGTGCCTGGAAGTGCCTAGTTGCTGGGCAGATTATGGTAAGGGGTTTGAGGCTGCATAATTAAGGCGGGGGAGGTGCTTGATAGCTATCATTCCTCAGAGATTCTAATTTTCTTTTTTTCTATTTGAAAAATCTATAAGGGACTATTTGGACAAAGTCCGTGTGAGAGGCACTTTTCAAATATGAACAAACACCTGAAGATTTTCCTGTAAGAGGTAGAGAGATATTAGACAACAATGATAGTATGGATGAGAAAGTTGACTACCAGTTAACCTCTGCGGCATTTTTCAATAAAAAGACAAAGGCTTAGCTCTCACACACCTAAACAACTTTTTAGAAATGAATACAACTGAGTCCGTGTGACACGATTTCAGACAGTTTCTATCACACCTAGTGTGTGACCTTCTAAATGCCCTGTATCCCTTGCGTATGTGTGGCATATTCCATTACAGGGGCTTTTGTCTCTTTGCATATGCTGCACCGTCTCTCTTTCACACAAAAGCCAACATTTGAAGTGCAAAATAAATGTGTGAAAGGGCTTTTAAACTAAACTCACAATGATTTAATCATTTAAAGGCGTTGATGTAATCATTACAAGTAATTTGTCCTTGCCAAAGAGTGAAAAATGAGTCCTAAAAGAGAGGAGCTAGAGCTGAAGTCTGCATGTTGCTTCTCTAGGGCAGAAAATACCTCTTACATATTTTTGCATAAGTTGTTCCACTGCCTAATTGGGCATGAGAGCAGGACAGAATTTATGGCTCAGAGTTCTCCTCAGCCACAGGTGTAGAGTGAGATTGGGATAGCTAGCAAGCTAATATTGGTCTGGAACCCAGCTTAAGCATCTCATTTCTAGCGGTTAGACAGATGTCACACATTCCCGGGCAGCAGAATGTGCTCTTCCCCTTGCCACAGAGATTAGCCACAGCCTGTGACGCTGGTTCTTTGCTGGAAGGAATAGGACAGGAGCTCACTGCTGTGTTATTATCTGGGCTCTATTATGTTTTTACATTTTTCAAAAATCTTTAAGCTAGATCTTTGACATTCAACTGCCTATAAAGACATGTGCCACCCGATGAGAAGCTTTGATGTGCATTTTGAGGATTAAATAATCTAGATAGAAGGCAATGTGTTTCCAGCCAAGAAGAAAACTATGGAGAAAATTTTGCCTCCTGCAGCTAAGCTCTGTTGGCAGTCAATACCTTTTAGCTTACCCTCTATATTTGATTTCATACATATTTACAGACTGTTTTTCCTCTTAGTGCTAATTCTTTTGAGACCAAATTAAGAACAAAGATAGCAGGAACAGGCTTCATCAAATAAAAATGTAAATATGCTGCATCTCATTTGTGCTTGAAGAAACTTTATTTAAATATTTTTGTGAAGTGGAGGAGTCTGGCTATATCATTATTATCAGCGACTGGGAAAGTAATAAACTCCAGAGTCAGTGTAAACCGTGGAGGGAAGAGTAAGTGTATGCTTTCTGGCAATGTGGCCTGCTTTGGAATGAGATTTTTCTGTAACTTCCAACAAGGAAGTGATAGTAGTGTCAATGTACATGGTAATGACAATTGTCGTTACCTATCTTTATTTTACTATACATCAAATAAAGAATTATTAACTCTGACTACTGGTACTTTGCAAAGTACTGATGATGTAATTTTAAAGTGAATGAAATGAAGGATAATTTCTGGATTTTTGCCTATGTTATTTAAATACACTGTACTTTAGTTTTAGAGAATAGCAAGGGAAAACTCCAGATTAAAAAACCAGTCAAATGGACTTCTGAACTGTATTTTTTTTCTGACTCAGTCTACAGTCTTATACTGCATTATCAACAGTAGACAGAAAGTAAATCAAAGAATTACTCTGGCTATGTAAAATAGGCTACTCATTAAATATTACAGTGAGAAAAAAATATTTTTAAAAGACTTTCAAATGCAAGATTTCTAAACCTCAGTTGCAAGTTAGTTTGCATTTCTTTAGGTGTCAGAAAACATCACTCACACATCTCAAAATTGCTCTAATTTGTCTTTCTTTACAAAGAAATATTTAATCAATTGCAAAGTGTGGATGGTAGTGTGTGGGGGGGTGAAATTCCATATTTAAAACAAATGGATCTTTTAGAACAACATTGAGTACATCGGAGTGATACCTCAACTGCCAAGGCTACCAACATCCCAGCTCTCCTCTTCCTGAGTGCTTGCACTTCTACCCCACATACACAAACCCATATTTGTTTATTTTCCCTCGGTCACTCTTAATAAGGGAAGTGAGGAAAAAAAGCACAAATTCTCTCCTGTCAAAGATTGTTTCCCACTGTCTCTTTTATCCACGCACTTTCCCCAAATATTTACTAACTCATTAAAATATTTTATCCTTACTGGCTTTACAAGAAGAGTATAGCTCCTAAATGTTTAAGCAGAAGCTCAAGTGTACACAGCTGCACCCTAGATTCAAAACCTGAATGATTCTGTAGCATCCGTGGTTATGGGAAGATGGTTCAACACAATGAACTCCTCATGCAAAGCAAGAAAGACTTACTGGGAAGACAAAAACAAGGGAGTCAAGATTGCCCTCCGAGAGAAAATATTTCTTACTTAAAACTTTGTGTGTGTTTGAATGACTGTCCTCTACAGCTCCGCAGATGAAATGTGTTCATGCTAATAAAAGGGAAAAGTTTTTAAACATCCCAAGTGCAAGAAGAATAAAATCATCAGTTCTCTTCTATAACATTATAATCAAAAGAGTTTGAAAATACTCTCCAAAAGTGATTTATATAAATAAGTGTTTCAAAATCTCAAAGGTTCCACCAGAGTAATTAAAGGTGTAACTTTCACATTTATTTTGCAATTCATGCCTCTGGAGGCTCATTTAGGGTACTTTTTCACAACAATATTAATTTATTTCTTTGTGCTACATCTTACAAGATTTAAAGTTAACATCTACGATGTCCTTGCTTTCAAATGTAGATTTTGCCTTTCTAAATCTAGCTTGCTGGAAGAGCTTGCTTATGAAATGCATTCACAATCCCACATACTATTTTTTTACACAGCCTCATCCATACTCACAATCACAAAGTGCACAGAAACACAGACACCCTGTTTTCAGAGTACTGTGGGCATCATCTCTAGGTTATCAGGGCGGCCCAGAAGATTTGAAATGAATATACCACTCAAAAACCTTAAAATCTTGAGATCATCATCTCAATTTAAGTACATTCACCAATGTTTACCTATTGGAAATTAGTCAATAGGATTATTCACACATCTGCCTTTTTTGAATATCTAATTAAATCATGTTCTATCTATGCTAGTTGGATACAAAAACATTAAGATATTACAAAAGGAGAAATGTGGCCAAAATGAATACCAGACGACGCTCTGTGTGCTAGAGAACTCGTTTCAGCCAACACTCTTACCGAATGCTTCCTTGAGAGTTGCAGAGAATCGCTGGGTCTTCCAGGACTTTTGTTGTCTTCTGGATGCCTCCCTCCTGGCCCCCAGATTCTAAGTAACCTAGTTAGCATATCCCCTTTGCATGTAAAAAGGGATGTACACTGTAACCTGAGGCCAGGCCCACCTTAATTAACATTTCAAATCAGAGACTCTAAGCAGATATTTTACAGAGGTAGAAAAAGGCATAGAAACTGGCAGGGTGGGATAAAGCCAAGCCTATGGAGGCCTAATTTAGTGAGCATTATTAAACAAAGATTTCCTAAAGAGATAGCAAAGGGAGAAATGGATTTCTTCATAGAGTAATGAGCATTAAGAAACTAAGCTCATGTCTTTTAAAATGGGAACAGCTGTGTCTGATTTTATTTCTTTGAAATAGGTTAGATCCCAAAAAGAAATTGGACAACAACCTAATGGGGACCACTTATGAAATCTTGCAGAGGTACCCCTCTCCACCTCCACCAGCACCTACCTCCCTCCTACCCCCGAAAAAGACCCCAACTTGAACCCTTTGAACTCCTAAAGTGTTTGTCTACAAATGCATTTTGCTATGAACAAGTAGAATTATCTGGAATTATTGAGTGAATTGAATCCATGTAGAAATGTTAACTGGGCCCATCGAATCCCAGAGTGTTTTGTTACTGTTGTTTTTAACTTTAAGCATTCCATTCTTCCATTCTATTAATCTGGAGGGGAGGTGCCCTAGGATCCATCAAACCATGATAGCATTTGGAAGATGATAGCCAAAAAAATGAATATTAAAAAAAAAAAAATGAATATTGTTTCACCCTATCCATGAAATCATGGTTTTAATATGTTCCAGCATCAACTCAAAGGTCTAAAGCCCAGGGCCACTGAGTACAACTAATTAATACAGCTTGTTACTGTGCATCCAAAATCAATCAAGTATACACTATTATTACTTTAAAAAAAAATTCTTGGGCAACATATGTTTTGGAGGGGTATAAATTTTACATAAATAAGTAAAAAAAAAAACAAAACTCTGTAAAATTGAACCTACTAAATGTTTCAATCCCAGGATGGAGTGCCTCCAGTCATATACCCAGTATCACCCAAGAGAAAAGTCAGGGAATTAAGTTTTAATTATTTGGTTCCAATAATAATAATAATAAAAAAAATTGCTCAGGAGATTTTCCCTATTCCATACCAGTCTAATTTTAGTTGCTCAGGAGATTTTCCCCACTCCATACCAGTCTAACAATGTATGGATTTTTGACCACGCTCAAAACTGTGACCTTCAAATGTCTTCAGTTGTCATCAAATTCAGAGACAGAAGTAGCACCTATCTGCTCACACAATGACAACATAGATGATTCTTTGAAGATCTTTCTTATGTTGCAAGGATCAAATGATTTTAGTCTTCTTGCCAGTTGGGTCTGTTGAATGAACTCCAGTGAAGTTTCTGGAGTGATAGGAACAGATGAATTTCTTCAAAAGCAGAAATATAAATTTCTTTCACCCTAAAATTAGAGTCATTATTTTAAAATACCCCACTCCAATGAAACAGCTGAGACAGAGTCTTAGAGCTACAAATTTCCCTCAGATCACCAAAGTGTAAAGAAGCATGACACACTAGACATGGCACACAGCTGGCACTGGTACCTTTTGCTTTTCCAATACCTGTGGCAGACATTAGTAATCAATCACAAATTTTTCTGCAAAATTAAGATGAAGCCTCAGAATTCTTTATGCAAGTATTTTCAAATTGCAGGCAGTAGAATAGCACAGTTATAACTCTTATCATATCAGTACTAAGTAAATAGTATTTCCCTAGAACATTTTAATTCATAGCTTCAGGTAATTGTGATCCATAAGAAAAATGGATATGGTTTCACCATATCCATGAAATCATGGTTTTAATATGTTCTGGCATCAACTCAAAGGACTAAAGCTCAGGGCCATATCTACATATGGCAGTCCTGTGGCTGTTCTGCACAGAGGTCTGCCTCTGCTGCAGCTTTGTCCTTGAGTCCTGTGCCTTAGTTCTCCTGAACTAGAATTGAACACTGTGGATCTGTCACCTGAAGTCTAAAGGAATATGCTACTTCTTACACAGTTGTCCAGCTGACCAACATGGCTCTCTAAGGCATCCTCTGAAATCTAGATGGATGCTGACACTCCACAGCTCTGACCAGAGTAGTTCACCATCCCAGGGCCCACTGGCGCCCTACCTGGGACAGTGAAGGAACACCACCATGCAATGTGGAGAGCGGATCCTTGAAAGGTGCAGGGCAGCATGGGCCTACATCCCTTCCTTTGAAATGACTCTGTATCCTAGACCCTGGCACTCTTGTCCTATAATTGAAGTAGCAGTCACAGTGATCTCTGAAACAGTTTCTTGGGTCATTTTCCCTTGTCTTTGTGACTAGCAGTGGGCCCATCCACCCTAATCACCTTCTCATTGGTTAACACCGCCTTAGGTGTTCTCTCCTCAGTATGCTATATCACTTTCAGAAATATTAAAACTTTTTTTATTTGTTCTTTCTTAGATATACATGACAGGAGAGTTTATTTTGACATGTATATGTGGAGTGTAACTTATTCTATTTAGCATATTTTACATACATGGAGTATAACTTACTCTAATTCCCATTCTTGTGGTTTTATACAATGCAAAGTTACATTGGTCATGTATTCACATGTGAATATAAGAAAGTTATGT